TCTTTATATTAGTTTCCTGTTTTTATACCCCTCAAGGGTGTAAAATCAAGGGCTCTTGAAACAAGGCCCTTCAAGGGAAGTTCTTTGATGCTTGTGGTGGGCTCCTGATCTAGGGAATTGGATATGTGCTTCAATTGCCTGAGTGCCTTCCCTTCCCCCTCCTCCCCCCCCATAGGCACTATAATCCCTATGGGTTTAGCGCTCCTGCATAATAACACTAATCTTGAAACAGAGAACTGAACTTAACCTCAACTTCCTTGGATCAAACCTGAATGACTTTTATTCCTCAGGCACTGTGACCTATATGGGTTTTGCCGTTTCCCTAAATATACAATTAATAATAAAAGTCTCCCAAGCAAAGCCCACAATGAAAGTCAAATATTTTTGTCTCGAGGGCATGTTCCTAATACCATATTACAAATTGCTGTATAGCCCTTGTGGCTTAGCACTTCTTTTTGATTATAATAATAATATATTACAAATTGTGATGCTGCGTGACGGAACTTGAGTCGTTGACACATTAAAAGGTATCAGAAAATTCTTACCATATATACTGAAGAAGACATTAGAGATATAAATAAAATAAGTAAATTCTTTATTTCCATGTGACATATTATTAGTCAAAACTAAGCACTAAACACACAAGGGTCATACAGCATCATGTTACACAGCTTTACAAAATTGGGTGAGAGTAGCACATTAGGAGAGCCCCTGGTTATGCAGAGCATTTTATCAAGCTTAACCCTATGACTAACAGAACAGAATACAAAAAAAAATCATTGCACATAGATCTATACGAAGATATTAAGTAAAGATTAAAAGTAACATTATGGTTTAGTGCCCGTCAGGGAAGGTTCCTTGATGTTGGTGAGGGGCTCTTGATTTAGGGAATTGGATCTGTGCTCCAGTTCCCCGAATTAAGCCTGAATGCCTTCCACATCCCCCCCCCGGCGCTGTATAATCCTACGGGTTTAGCGCTTCCCCTTGATTATAATAATAATAATAATATGGTTTAGCGATTGATTCTGATAATATAATAGTGATAAATATACATAAGATCCTGCAGACCAGGATTTACCACATATTTGAGACATGAGAGCTGTCAGAATTAGTTTATTTAGGCATAGGTACACATAAGTTCAACTATCATAATTTATAACGTGTGTAAATAATGTACGATAATCCAAAAAAGGCAGATACAGAAAGCTGGAAAATTACACACGATGTGCCGATCGTCAACAGAAAAGGCACTAAATAAGTGATTGGTACTGCATACATGAATACCGTGTAATGAACTGGACAAGCCTGACACAGTCACGAGGGTGAAGGGGGAGGCTAAATCCCCTCCCCTAGATGCACATATTCTTGCTTTATTTTCAGTTAATGGCTACGAAAAGCATGACTGTTTAGGAAATTTCACATATATACTGGAATTTATGTTTTTAAAAACATTTATTCTAATTTTTCAGCATCTTATGATTTTAAACCTTCATATTCACCCTGTTGAAATCCTGACTATGCTGTGGATAAGATAATAGTAAATATGTAATTAAACCCCAGTTAGTAAATCACAGATTTGATATGAAAAAAAAACATCTATTCGGAAGGCAGAAATCCTGCCTAACTAACCTAACTTTCATGACGGAGTGACAAAGATCAGACAGGAAAGAGTAAGTAAGTAAGTTTATTCAAGTATACACAAATACAGTTACATAGAATTATCATACATAGCAACATATGTGTAGAGAACCTAGGATAACCAAAAAAAGTCAGACAGAGTGACTTATTTCCAAGAGAAGGATAGAGAAGTTGTGCAACACTACTGTTGAAAGCCATTTAACACTGTCCCTCACCGTAGATAATACACAGACTAGATAGTCTAGATATAGTGACTGGGAATACTTTAATGAATAAGAAAATATCTAACAAGCAGACGGTAGTTACAGTGTGAGGTATGTCAGGACAGAGAGAAGTCATAGGATAGACTGAAAAAAAATGCATATCCATATTTGTGGAATGATGCAAAGCAATTTAGGATAAAGACGGCAACAATCTACGTAAAGGCCTGTACAAGCTACAGGAATAACTGAACAAGTGGTTACTCGAATTTCAACCTCAGTAGGGTTATAGTTATTATGACGTTCAGATTAGCTATATCAAATGAAAATTTGAGATCAAGAAAGATAGTGTGGGAAGTGTCAAGAGTGGAGAGAGAGAGAGGTAGGTTTGCAATGAAACCAGGTCCAGGAGCTAGGGATCAACCGTGCCAAACACAATTAGGAAGACGTGAACAAACCATTTTTTTAAATATCGATAACAAGAAATAATCTTCTTAGGTCATAATTAGCATTAGGATACACGTGACTGTGACTAAGTGTTGAATTAATATTAAATCCATAGAAAAACGCTAAGCCCGTAAGGTGTCATACAGCATCTAGGGAATGGGGAACAATCAGATTCAACCTAAGGAGAAACCAGCTTCCGTTCCTTGGACCAAATGCCCTTCACCATCAAAGACTCCCCGCCCCACCTCCCTTCAGATCAAAAAGGCTTAAATCCCATTAACTACACGACGGGCATTAAGGCTACATACTAACCTATTCACCCCAAGTTAATACTCGTACGTATCTCTAAAATGGAGACAAAAGAGGTGCGTTACAGCATATATCGTATAAGCTGAGAGTTCACTTTAATTCCCATTTTAATCATTAAGATTTACTTGCCTGTTAGTGAAGAAGGTTACATGTATCCTTAATGACCCTCGTAATCACCCCTAGGTAATTTACACATATGTGGCTATGTATAATAATTTATGTAACTGCATTAATGTGTACCTGTACCTGAATAAACTTACTAACAAGGGACTAAGAGCAGAGTACAGGAGGTCACACCATGGCCAGGCGTAGTATATGCTATCACGACGAGTACGTCATTTCCGAATCCTCGCGGGAGCAGGATCAGTCAGCGTATGGTCGTCAGCCCACCAGCACCAACCATCTGCCATGTACGTTGTGCATTTATATTTCTTTGCCATTTGTGATATACAGTGCTTTGAAAGTGTATTTTTATTGTCGGCGTAACGCCGGCAAGTGATAAAAAGTCAATATGTAGAGTGAAGTTTTTGTTGTCATAATGATTCACTCTGTAGTGAGCGTAATAAAGCAAAGTTATGGGTGAAACGTTCTATCAATAATTTATAAATTTTGGATATTTCTTCATCTATGAACTCTGGATTACAAATATGTAAAGCTCTCAAAGTCCGGAGTTCAAAGATGAAGAAATCTCCAAAATTTACGAAATGGCTAATGGTCTTAAATACCCAAGAAACGTAATTGATAAATCCTTAAAAACAGCTAGAAATACTTTTTACAATACAAAAAGGGACAACCAACTTTATTTAACTAAAAATATGTTGGTTCTCCCTTACCATGAAATCTTGATTAATATGTTTTCTTTTCTTTAGACTTTTAATATCAAAGTTGTATTTAAAAATCTTGATACAGTAAAAAAAAAACTTTTGATAAAGAATTCCCCCCAAAATGCTGACTTATGTGTCTATAAGATTCCATGTAAACTTTGCGATAAAGTTTATTACGGTCAAACTGGTAAAAGTCTCGAACTAAGATTAAAACAACATAAATATAGCATCAGAACCGGACAAGATTCTAATCCTCTGTTTATTCAGGCGAGAGATTTTAACCATCCAATTTATTTTCAAAAAGTTGAGAAAGTTGTATTAAGCAAGTCCATGGTCGACAGGTATATTATTGAATCTTGTTGCATAAAAAGCAGTTTTGACAATAATATGAATATTTCTTTTGGTTTAAATTAACTGGATTCATTTATAAGTAATAAAGTTTGGGAAGAATTTAATGATACACTGGACAAGTAAAAAATCTTAATGCTTGGGTAGAGTATCAGATATGTTTCACAGAGTTGGATGGTATCACGCGACTGTGAGGTGTAATCTTGACCTTTTATATGTATTCATGTTGATGTTTTGTTTTCTAGAGCTCCTTGATAATGTGAGAAGTCACGAAAGCGCTTGGAATTTCACTATTTTTCAAAGTGGTTGGTTTTCATTTTTAAAA